ACTACCGAACCACCTCTGCAGACCCTACAATAGCATTTTTTTTTTTTTTTTTTTTTAAGGCTGGGAATCTAGCTCAGTGGCAGAGTGCTTGCCTAGCAGTGCAAATATGATAAAATCCTTCAGAAGGAAAGACATAAAAAGCTGTTTGTTAGAATTTAGAGGAAATACGGCCAGACGAAATTGGAAGAGACAGAGCTTGTGAGATGGCTTAGCCATCCAGGCACTTGATGCCACACTGACCACCTGTGTTTTATCCTTGGGACCCATGTGGTGGAAGCAGAGAACTGACTACTGCCAGTTGTATTCTGACCTCCATCTTGGTGGTGGCATGGGGGCTACCCAAGAAACAAACAAATATCTAACTAAATAAATTCAACTTAAAACTTACAAAACAACAAAGAGAATCTTTGAGAGACACTGAACAGGGTTTAGTTCCCAGCACCCACATGTCAGCTCTCAACCATCTATAATTCCAGTCCAAGGGACACTATGCCAATGAGAACACTGCATGCATGTAATACACAGACATACATGCAGGCAAAACACCACACATAAAATAATTTTTTTAATTGAATAGACAAACAAATGGAAAGATGTACCATCATCCCATGTTCATAGACTGGACCAAGTACGTTGTTTAAATATCCATAAAGTTCCTTTTTTCTTTCCCTGGGATCAAGCACTGGAGAATAGCACAGCCACAGCTAAGATTGAGGGAATTTTCTGGCAAAAAGAAGGAGCTGAGGGACTGAGGATACTGCTCTTACAAAGGAACTGGATTCCATTCTCAGCACCCACATGATACTTCACCATTACCCATACTCCAGTTCCAGGGGATCTGACACTTCTTCTAGCTCCTGTGGGCACAACGCCATGTACTGTACAGACACACATGCAGGCAAAACACATATACATATAAAATAAGGAGCATTTGAAACAGCTGGTTCATCAGACCAAGCTGCATACAGCTGAAGTGACAGGTGGCACAGTGTCCAGACTCTGAACATCAGAGCTGTCTGTAAATATTTGCCTGCATGCTCACTAGTCTTAACCAGACTCAGGGGAAATAATAATAATAATAATAATAATAATAATAATAATAATAATAAAGAACCCAAAATCCGTTTCAAGAACTTCTAAGGACAAGAAGTAAAAGGTCCTGGAAAGCCATGTGCCACAGACCCCTCTAATACTAGGAGACTAAGAAGTCACAGTGGAAAGAATGCCACAGTGATAAAACACAAAACTGGCTGGGGGAAATGCTCCTATTTCACAAGTGGGGTACAGGTTCAATGCAATCTCTAGTGAAAACTCCAGTAACAGAAATGTCTTTTATGCTTCCTTCACTCATAGAAACAATTCTAACATAAATATAAACTACAAAAGATGACAAATGGTCAAGGCAATGTAAGAACAAGAGAACAAAGCCAGCTTCTACCTGTCACAAAGCCATAGTAAGTGAAACAGTGTGCTCCTGTCATAAAGAGCAGTACAGGAGCCTGGCTAGAATGCCTGGAATCTATCCAACACTCCAGCAGACTCTGGAGGCTCAGGAATTCATCCTTCATTACTCACTGGATTCAAGGCCAGACTGGGCTACATTACATTCACTGTTCTGCACAGGACCTGTGTTTGATTCCTAGCACCCCTCCCAGGCATCTCACAGCCTCCTGAAGCTCTTAACTCGGAGATACCTGATGGCTCCATGGGCACCTGCACATGTATGCACATACTCACATGTAGACAAACATTAAACATACGCATATATACTTAACTAACATTAACCCCATTAGTTTACACTATGTTGTAAGCTTGTGATCCCAGCACTGGGGAGGAGGCAAGAGGATCAGGGGTTCAAGGTCATCCTCAGCTACACAGTAAGTTTAAGATCAGAGTAGATTATACAGCCCCTGTCTCAAACAGACAGAATTCTATCTGATGTTTTTTGTTTGTTTTTGAGACAGAGTTTCTCTGTGTAGCTTTGTAGATCAGGCTGTCCTAGAACACATAGATCCACTTGCCTCTGCCTCCCAAGTGCTGGGATCAAAGGCATATGCCACCACCACCCAGCCCATCTCTAGCTGATGGTTTTAAGTTCTGATGTCTGCTTGCTACAGGTTATTCTGACATTTTAAAAGCAATAAAAAGCATAAAAACATATATTTCTGAGGAAGAGGGCCTTTGGAAATTTCAAAGTCATCCCTGATTATACACTTTGCTCTAAAATGCGCACACAGCTGAAAAAACTTCTCAGGATAAATCCAGGAAGGAAAAGTCCTCTACTGTGTGGAGGGATGAGGCAGAGATTTTCGCATTTCAAGCCAGCTAGTCAGGAAGCCAAGGCAAGGAATTCTGCTGTAGGTCAGGAATTAGCAGCCAGTATAGACAACACAGAAAAGTAAGACCCTGTCTCCCTTAAGGGAGGGTGGCTGAGGACGAAAGATACAGTGCAGTGGCAAAACATTGCCTAGTAAATATAAGGTTTGTTCCTAAGCTCTGGAAAAACAACAGAAAGCAATCAACTAAACAAAAACCCCAAACTACCCAATTTCTTGTTTGTTCCTTAATTTTTTTTTTTTTTTTTTTTTTTTTTTAAGATTGCCAACTATGGGGCTGGAGAGAGAGCTCAGAGATTAAGAGCACTGGCTGTTCTTCCAGAGGTCATGAGTTCGATTCCCAGTAACCACACAGTGGCTCACAACCATCTATACAGTCTGTTGCCCTCTTCTGGCCTGAGGGGGATACAAGCAAACAGAACACTGTATACATAACAAATAAATCTTAAAAAATAAAAAACCAACTATGATCTGCATGGTATTAACTGTGTTGCCCTGGATATAAGTCTCATGGAATTGAGCCTATGAAAGAATGAAAAATAATTTACTATATCTTAAGCTTTTATTTACATTAGTTTAATTTATTGGGGCTTTGAAGATGATAAAGAACGACTTTCTACCCATGTTAAATGGGCTTCAGGTGAATTTTATAGAACTTGTGCACATAGGGAACCAACACAGCCCAGAAAAATAAACTTGCAGCTGGCTCTAGGCTGATAGTCTCAGTCAGAGGCAGGGGAGCTCTGTCCTAAGTCCTGCATCCCCAAAGGGTAGCTTCTAGCATGTCAAACCTGCACTCAGTTTCCAGAGTCCAGGGAATGGAACAAACACATCCTTGGAGAAAGTAATTTCTCCAGAATGATATCCGGCTTCAGTTAGGACAAACAACATTCACCATGATACAGTCTCCACATCCAGTCTTCCAAGCAGTGTGAGGAAACTTCCTGTCTGATATCTCTTAAGTCTCCACAAGGTGTGTGGCCAAGGATAGCTATGCTAATTAAGACAGTGAGATTTCCCGATCAGTGTGGTGGTACACACCTTTAATTCCAGCACTGGAGAGGCAGAGGCAGGTAGATGTGTGTTCAAGGCCAACATGGTCTACAAACTGTCTTCTAGAACTGCCAGGGCTGTTCCACAGAGGAAACCCTGTAGCCAAAACAAAACAACAACAAAAGGATAAGGAAAAACTTTGTGAAACCTTAAAATTTCTGTCCAATGTGGTGGCATAGACCAGGATTCCCAGCACTAGGAGGCTGAAGGGGGAGGACCCCAGTTAGAGGCCAGTCTGGCCTACATAGCAGACCTGTCTCAAAACAAACTCCTTCCCTTCAAGACACAGTGATTAGAGCATTATGATATCAGTGTTTCTTCCTACCCAGCACACACTGACTCCAGTCCCTTCCTTGGGGTCTCAGCATTTGCTTGTGTACCTCATACAAAGCACCCCAGAATCTACATTGTTTGTATTGCCTGCTTCACACCTGACTTCTCCCACTCTCCTCACAACTCCCCTACACTAACACTCACCACATTCAGTAGTTAAGTCCAATAGACTCTTGCTGTATCTGACCTGACTAGACTTCTTGGCAGTGCCTTGCCACTAGACTATTATTGTGACACTCTTAAAGCTCTTATTTGGTTCCCAGGATACCATCTTCCAAATTCTATTTGTTCGTCTATTAAATATTTGTAAATCATTTACGAGGACGCCAAGCCCAATGTTAGAACTGAGGCTTGGGCACACTCCTTTGGGATCGTTGTGAATAGGTAATTATCATTTGACAAATATAATTAGAACTTTGACAGCGAGAGCGGGACATTAGGGGAATAGACAGACAAATGGGTGTACACTCACATACACACAAATTTCTTTAAAAACCCAAAAATCTTGCCAGGTGTTGTGGCAAACATCTGTAATGCCCAGTCCCGACTACCCACCAAAGCGATTGTTCACGGTTCCACCTTGCCCTCAGCATTTGCCTTCGAATCAGTCCTACATGGGAGCTACCATCATCTCTTTAACCCAACTTCCATATGCCCTTTAAGATCAAGTTGAGCTGTCTTTTGTGAGAAAACTCCCTCCTTCCTTTCTATCCACCTGCTCCTTCCCATTGACCCACAAGTACTCTGCCCATGCACAGGCCAGTGAACAGGGCACACCCACACCACAGCAGAGGGTTTGGTACATTCCAGGGACTCCGATGGGGAAGAAGACCGAATCAAGGACCAGGATTCCCCTATGTTCAAAGTCCACACACAGAATCAACACAACAAAGGCGCTCTATATAGCCCCCTGCCTTCCCCAGACTACAGTACAGAGAATGTCCCGACACTCCAACCCTGAAGGAAACCGTTATTCCCTGGACTTAGTGACAACCTCCTTCTAAACCCCGCGTAGGAAAGCTAAGTACTAGGAGTGGAAAGAAGAGGAGAAAGGGGTCCATTGGGACCACAAGTGCGCAGTTGGTCAAGGCCAAGGGCAGGCAGCTCCCAGCTCCCTGGACTGCAGGCAGGCACGCACTCGGTTGGGCCATGGCCTCCAACTGCCCTCCCTGCGGCCCAGCGCTCATGGGGGAGGGGGAGAGGGGAAAACCGTTATTCTCACTCAAAGGGCCGCCGGGGCCGCAGCCCTGGGTAGAACCTCTGCAGCAATGGTAGTACCTCTTAGGAAAGGGACCTTATCTGCTCGCCCTTCCGGTTTGCACTAGGTGAAGCAGTGCAGGGCAGTCGCTCCGGGCTCTCCACCGGTGGCCGCCAGCTCTCACCCCGATGGCGGCTGTCAGCAGCCAGCGACTGGCGCCTTTATGGGATTCAGCCGTGAGCAGCCTGCTGATTGGTCGGAGCTGGCCACGTGACTGTGCATGCGCCTCACACGCTGTGGAGGTGTGAGCCTGGCCTGTGGCAGCTGAGGCCTTGAAGGTAGGTTGTATAGGCTGGGTGTTTTCTCTCCAGACCGACCCACCCTAAGGAAGTTGTGGCCTTGCAAGTAGAGCCTGCTGTGAGGGATTTACTGTTTGCTTATTTGATGGGTTTAGGTTTTGCATTTATTATTTATTTAATTGGAGAAGGTCTTAGCCTGGGGTGACCTTGGACTGGTCCCCAGATGGGCTTAAAGGCGGGCATGTACTACTGCGCCCAGTTCCAAGGCCTTTGTTGTGCTTTGTTTTTCAAATGAAGTTGGTAGTGTTATGTTTTTATTCATTGGCGTGTGTACACGCTTGTCTGTGCAGAGCACAACCTCCGGGAGTCAGTTCTCAATTCTTTCTTGCAGATGGACCCTTATGAGCTCCCAACTTAGAGATCCATCTGCCTCTGTCTCCTGAACGCTGGGGTTAAAGGTGTGCCCCACCACTCCCGGCATGCGTACTGGTTTTAAAATGCCACTTACTATAGCTTCACAAAGTGATTTAGGATTTTGAGTTTTAGCAACTACCTCCTGATGGCTTGTGGACACTTTAAATGTACCTAAGCCTAATGATGTGTTAAGCGCAGTAGTTTTTTTTTGTTTTAAATCCAGTTGCAGTGTTTCCCTTTGTAGCTTTAAGACAAGGTCTCACTGAAATCTTGGCTGACCTTAAACTGGCTGTGTAGACCAGGCTACTGGAAGATCACAGATCTTCCTGCTTCTGCCTCCTGAATGCTGGGACTAAAGATGTGCACCTCAGGTCTGCCTCTGAATCAGTAGTCCTAGATACAGCAGGGAGAAAGGGGAGAGCAGAACAGCTGAGCAGCCTTGACTTGACGGGAAACACATCTGAGAGTCATTAACTGCTTAGGCAATGTGAGGTGAGTCCTCAAGACCACATATTCACAAGGAAGCAGCACAGCCCATTAAAAGCTGCAGATCCCCACCCAAGAAGCTGTCTTCTGGGAAGGCTCTTCCCTCCAGAGCACCGAAGATGATGGCCTACTTCAGACATAGAACTAGAAACCCCTCAATTTTCAAGTAAAACAAAGATCAAGAGTTAATTATTCAGAGCTGGGAGTGGTGGCACACCACCTTTAATCTCAGTACTCAGGATGCAGAGGCAGAGACAGGTAGATCTCTTGAGCTCGAGACTAGCCTGAGCTACAAGGTTAGTTCCAGGACAGCCTCACAAACCTCAGACACTTTAGGAAATTATAGAGAATGTCCCCTTAAAATTACTATAGCCTAGGCTTTCAGGTCCTTGAAAAGGCCTATGCCTTTGAACAGGAAGGATACCTATTGTCTGCCTGGTGTGGTGCTACATGTCTGTAATCCCAGCCTAGGCTACAAAAGGTGAGGTCCTGTCTCATATGGAGGGTGAACATGCACTAAGATGCCAAGATGGGAAGTGGACAGGAGCATCTGACTGAGTCTGATCATTTGGATTCCCAGGGGTTCAGAGCAACCCTTATCTCCAGAGTGAATATGGAAGCACAAACTCCAATGACTCCCTTGTTAATTTTTCTTCTTTCTTTTTCTCTTTGTTTCTTGTTTGTTTGTTTGAGATAGGGTCTGAGTGTTTGGCCCAGACTAGCCTTCAGCTCAAGCTCTTCCTTCCTCAGCCTCCTGAACACTGAGGACTACTTGGTGGGATCCTTAATTGCCATCTTAACTTCATGACTAACAATTCCTTGCCTCCCTTTGGTTAAATGATTTACCAGTATTTTCACATGTTAAAAACTCATTTGAGTGTTCATGTACACATGCGCATGTGTGTATGTTTCCAAACAAAGCAGTACAGATCACTGTAGCCTACCTGATATAACAAATTTCCATGTGTTTTCCTTTGTCATGCTCTCTACGAGTTCTCTTAAGAGAACAGTTTCCATAAAAGTTTAAACCATTGATGTTCTTCTGGGACCATTTCTCCACAAGCATCCTTCCCATTTTGGCTGTCAGGTTACTTAGTATTTTATTTTGTCGGAGAATTGCTCGGTTATTAGATTACTCCACTACTTAAAACCCATCAGTTGGACTATCAAGCTGGCTTAATAGGTAAAGGTGCTTGCTGCCATGCTGGAAGACCTGAGTTCCACTCCAGGGACTCAGGTACTTGAAATACACGCATACATACATGTAAAGAAAAAAAAAAACAAACAAACAAAACAAAAACCCTCACCCTCTTACCCAGACAGAACAAATTTGAACTCCTCCGTGAAGCCCCAAGTAGCTGAGACCCATCGTCTCTCTGACTGTGTGGCTCCTCACCTCACTCTCCTCAGCTCTACCTGCCTCTCCTGTAATGCAGTCACATCAAACATTCCCACCTTCAGGCTCCTTTTGGAGAGACTGCCCCCACAATGTCATCAGAAGGAGAGCACATACCACCTGGCTGGTCATTTTTGTTTGTTTTGTGTTGATATTGAGTCTCCTGTAGCCCAGGCTGGTCAGTCTCTGACTTATTATATAGTCAAGAATGACTTTGAACTTCTGATCATTCTAGTGGGAATTAATGCTCAGTTTTATGCACTGCTGGGGGGCTGGAGCCAGGGCTTCCTGCAAACTACACTCCACTAACTGAATTGCTCCCTCCTTCTGTTTGTTGTGTTTTCCCTCTGATGTTGACTCCACTAAGAACAACACTTTGCTTTTCTCTCTGCTGTATCCAGATGAGAATGAGTACATACTGGGGAAAACCAGGTTTGACTTCAAATCAATGCGATGCTAGGCAGGTCATACATTTTAGTTCAAAGAAATTTAGAGTTATGCAATTATGTTCCTTATTCTGTTTTCACTACTGAATTAAAGACACTGAAGTACAATGTCCCATTAATGCTGATGAAAATTTGGTACATTGAGAGATTGGTTTGAAATTTCCAAAAATATTGTTACTTTATTATTCCTTGGTACATGTTTCCATGTGACCACTAGGTGGCAGAATGTGCCCACATCCTTCCAGGGAGCCTTCCTCTTTCACCTTTTGGGACGGTTATAGAAATTTCATATTTGAAGAGTACTTTGTACCAGAATAGGCACTTTAACAAGCAATGTCTCAAGATGCTCCTAAGAGCAGGGAAGACAGTTATTTTGTTATTATTACTTTATTTATTTATTTTGAGACAGGGTTTCCTCTGTGTAGCAACCCTGGCTGTCCTAGAACTCACAGAGAACAGCCTGCCTCTGCAAACCAAGTGCTGGGATTAAAGGTGTATACCACCACCACCCAGTTTGTCTTTTTTTTTTTTAAATCACTTCAGAACCAATAACATTTTTTAGAGGTTGGAAGTACACTGCTGTCACTGCTGCTTTTCTCGGTATCTGATATGAGCTACAGACTTGCTCTGTATTTCAGCTTTAAAATGGGACCCAACAGGAAATGGTTTTCTTTTCCTTCCTTCCTTCCTTCCTTCCTTCCTTCCTTCCTTCCTTCCTTCCTTTCTTTCTTTCTTTCTTCCTTCTTTCCTTCCTTCCTTCCTCCCTCCCTCCCTTCCTTCCTTCCTTCCTTTCTTTTTTATGAGTCAGGCTTTCACTCTGTAGCCCCTGTAGGCCTGAGATTCACAGTCCTCTTGCCTCAGCCTCTGAAATCTTGGGGTAACAGGAGTAAGCTACTACACCCCACTGGTTTTCAAATCATTTAATTTAGGATTGATCCTGGCAAGCATCTCTTTTTGAGTGTCCTTCGACTTCAAACATGTCGGGGAAAGCAGTTTAAGTTTCAAGGCTGCTGCTTTGTGTCAGCAGACAACAATCTTGGGGATGCCAGGATGACTTTGTGTACTTGGAAGTTTCTGATTCTTCAGTGGTTGAGTGCTATTGGGTGTGTTTTCCATGGAGAGCGAGATAGAATGGCTGGGAACTGCACATGCATCAACCTACCTTGGAAGGATCTGAAAGGATTCTGAAGTGGACTAGCAGAAAAGTCATTACATGTAAACTATTACTTTAGTTCATCAAACAATAAGGCTATCTCCGTTTATTACATGCAGCTAACTAGAGGCTACTTAGTGCAGTATTACACCTGGGATTTGTGCCAGATGTGGGATACTGTTTTTCCCCTTGAGTTGTTGGCTGAGGGTACCCTGGAGACCCCCAATCCAATACAGGTTTTATTGTCATTGATCTTGGTTACCCATTAGAACTTGATAGTAACTCCCTGTGGTAACTTGAATGCAATTGGCCCCCATAATCTCATAGGGGGTGGCACTATTAGGATTTGTGGCTTTGTTGGAGTAGGTATGGCCTTGTTGGAGGAAGTGTGTCACTGAGGGGGCTTTGAGGTTTCCTATACTCAGGATATTATCGAGTGTATCAGTTGACTTCCTATTGCCAGCAAGAGCAGAACTCTTAGCTACTCCTCCAGCACCACATCTGCATGCATGTGGCCATGCTTCCTGCCATCATGATGATGGACTGAACCTCTGAAACTGTAAGTGAGCCATTCCAAGTACATGTTTTATTTATAAGAGTTATGGTGTCTCTTCACAGCAGTAGAGGCCCTAACTAAGACAGACCCTATTGCTGAAGACACCACACACTTTGATCACAGGACTTGGAGAAATCAGGCTGGCACCATCCAGGAAGTTTCCTCCCTGCTGACTAGCTTTCAGAGTTCTGGAGAGTGCTAAGCAGACTGCTGAGGAAAAAAATTGTGAGCCTACAATAAATGACCAGGATGACAAGATAGACCCACAGGTACAGTAGTGGCATGGATGTTACAGGATAACCAACTGCTCCCTGGTTGAGTTAAGGTTCAATCCATAGGAGAAAACACATGCCTAGTACTCTAAATCTGGTCAGTAGACCATGTTTGGGAAGTCATACCTCAGGAGTGAACCTACCACTATTTTGCTAAAATGGGTACAGTATCAAACTGTGCTCCACATTCGTTCATCACTCTGCCCATAGATTAGTGCAGCTTTCACACACCATC